GACTGCTGAACGAGCTGACTCAGAGCTGTGCCCTCAGAGAGCAACGAGGTGTGGTAGCAACAGCCCTGATCCAGGTCAAAGATTAAAGAGCTGTGTTACCTTGAACTAGTCACTTAACTTCTCTGAGCTTCAGTTTCCTTAACTGATGGAACTGTGACATAGGCTTTGGAAACAGACAAACCAGAGTTCAAATCCACCTCGGCCACCAACTAGCTGTGGGCGAATTACTTCGTCACTTTGAGCCTTAGGTTCCCCATCTGTAAAACCTACCTGCCCTGCAGAATTAACTATGAGGATCAGAGGTAATACAGTTAATCCACCCAGTCAAGAGTCTGCTTGTACAGTGAGTACTCTATAAATGCTATTACTACTTACTGTTCTAGATGATGACTAGGTCTAATGTTCCTTCTGGCTCTAACATTTGAAGGACAATTATCTTAATTGTCACTCTCCCTTACTAGATTGTAAGCTCCAGAAGGAACCCAGATCTTTGCAAAGTACTTGCCATACAGTAGGCACTCAGTAAAAACCTAACAAATCAATGATTCCCTGTTGCATTAAAAGGCAACTTGATTTCTTAATCCAACTACATCATGTACAGTCCATTCTTTAAAGCACAGGATGCAGCTTATATTCATACAAGGAATCTCACAGCACCATTTGCTGGGCTGGACTGACAGCAAAATCACTGAGCATTCAGTGTTAAAGAAACCTTAGTGACCCACCCGGCTCATACAGCCTACACAGCTGACATGACTCGCTCAAGCCACAGTTCCGGCAAAGCCAGGACCAGCTAGTGGCGCACACCATGGGAGGAGGGGGCGGTACCTACCTTCACAGCATAGGTGCTGCCAGCGTCCTCGGAGCAGGTGGCACAGTAATAAATGGCATCCCCCGAGTCGCAGCAGGGCTTGTTACAGGTCAGTTTGAAGAGCGACCAGTTGTTCTCGTTGAAGTGAAGCTCCTTTTTCTGGCCGCCCATGAAGAGGTCCTCACACTTGGCTACGAGGCGGAGCAGGGACTGGGTGAAGAGGCCCCCCATCTTGGCGTAGGTGCCCTCCTTGCTGCTGATGCTGCTCAGGAGGCTGTGCAGCTGGGAGCTGGCGGTGGAGGCCTGGCTGGACACACTCAGCTGGGAGGATGAGGCTGAGGGCGCCCCTTTGCCCTGGAGGCTGGGGCTCCCGCGGCCGCTCTTGCTGCCGGCCAGCCCTGCTGCAGGGGCCCAGTGGCTGTTGCCTTTGCAAGTTTTCTCCAGGGGCTCAGAAGCGGAGAAGACGTGGTGGTGGCGGTTCCCAGCGCTCAAGGAGTAGCTGAAGGGAGAGTCCTCGTGGATGCAGACGCTGGTTTCAGAGTGGCTGACATTCAGCTTGGGGCTTGCGGCTCTTGGTTTGGGGGAGCCTTGAGTCCAGAAGAAGCTATCTGGGGAGGAGGCTGCCCGGCTCACGATCTTTTTCTGGGGGAGCGGAGGAGGCTGCAGGGGACTACTGGGGGACACATCCTCAGGGGAGCCCGACGGGAACGGAACCGGTGCAAAGAGCTTCTTCCCACTGTTGGTGGGCGAGTGGGCTGGCTCATATGACGGGCCTGAAACACAGAAACGGAAACAATCTGGCAGTCTGCTGGAGGCTGATGCCACCGCCACTGTGGGCGCGCTTTTTTTTTTTGTCAAAGCAATTTATTGGCTTGTACCTTTAATTTTAATTTTGTGTATGTCTTGAATAGACCACATATGCACAGTGTACAATATCAAAATGCAAAAAAAGACAAGTCAGTTTTCTTCCTATCCCCATCCCTCGGCACCTGTCCCTCTCCTCAGAGGAGACCTGTTAGCAGTTTCTCATGCATCCTTCTGGGGATTTCTAAATAAA